ACCGTACCCTTTTATGTAATGATGTTTACTTTGAATTTATATTAGTTCACACAAACACTCCATCCATGCTTTTGTTCCGGCCGTCCGTTCCAGTTTCAGAACCCATTGTGGCCCTCGAGTCAAAAAGTTTGTCCACCCCTATTCTAATGCCTCGGGGTTCCTCAGGCAGCCAGAGTTGAAAACCATCCTTTCAGTCCAGCTCTCCTTATTTCACGAGCTGTGTTCTGGCCACAACATTGAATGTAGAGCATTCTCTCGCACTCACCCGTCGCCTCCCTCACCCCTCCTCCCCGTAGGCTGAGTTGGGAGGCTGGTTTTCTCTTTGTGGATGTTTCTGCTTAGGCAAGTGGTGTGTGTATAGAATGTGGTGTGCGAGCTCAAGGCAGGAGAGGTTTGTCACTAATCCACACAACTCGGCCTCTTCTTAGGGCCAGGAGTTAGAATTACTTACCAGGGTAGCTAAGAGAACAATGGGGTTCATATGAGTCAGGCCAAATAGGAAGGAATCTGCTGTGGTTATGTTTATTATATACTTGTAGATATGAATGTCAGCCTCCTGAGTTGTTTCCCTTAGTAATATTTATTATTGGAACTAAAAATCTTGCTTTTTGAGTCATTACTTGTACCTAATAGTTCTATTAGTAGGAAAGAAATTCATTTCTGGAATATTCTGACCATTGGATGATTAAAAAAGCACACAACTTTGCCAAACCTAAGGAAACAGTTCAGTTTAGTTAAATTATCTAAGTGATTTAAAATTTTAACTGTCTTGGTAACTAATATCCTGGTAATATTATTTAAAAAATTGACTTTTGGTGGGACGTATTGGATTGGTGGTGTCATTTCCTTGAGTTATATTAACTTCCAGGTTACCAGACTTACGATGAGTTCCTTTTCTTGTGCCGGATCTCCTGTGAGGTCCAGGCCTGCCAGTCCTGTGCTGTGCGTGCACAGTGAGACTTGTCTGCACAAAGCAGGGAGACCTTCCTGCTCCAGTGGCTTTGACAAAGGTAGGAATAGAGAGAGCTTGTTGTGTATGTGGCATATGGTCTTATTGCAGTTCTATGAATGATTGGCTGTTGCTCTGTATTTCATGTGGTGAATGCTGGCTCAGCCCTGCAGGAGTTGTGGCCATCTCTGTCCTCTCCTCCTAACTCTCTGTCTCTGCCTCAGTGCCCCCCATCCAGAGCTTTATTGAGGTGATGAAGTTTATGCTTGTACTGCACTTACAGGTGCTTTTGATCAGTTCCCACCTATTAAGTAATTAAGTAAACTAATGAGAACCAAGGCCAGGGAGTTCAGGGGTGGCGTGAGATGGGGTACATGTCTCAAGTCAAACCTGTAGCAGAAGCACGATCAAAAGACATGCTCCTTTCCCTTTATTATGTATGTGGTATAGTGTTTCTTCATTATACTGTGAGAAGTCCTGCCTCTTTTGATAAAGGAATATCCAGAAACCAGAAACACCAATCAGAAAGGATATATGCACCCCTATGTTCATAGCAGCACAATTCACCATAGCTAAGATTTGGTGTTTCTGGTTTTTGATAAACTTTAAAATCTTAACTTACCTCTATTGTTTGACATATTTTTTCAAATGAAAAACCATTATGATTTCTATTAAAGAAAATACAACGTCTCAATTAAGAACTATGGTAACTATATTTACTCATTAAACGCTAAGCTTTCTAAAACACAACTTGAAAACATCTGGCATGCATGTTTCATCTCAGTACAGTAGATTCAAGATCAAGTATACATGTTACATGCATCAAGGCTATTTTTTTAAACATGTTTTTATTGATTTTTTTATTGCTTAAAATATTACAGAGAGTAGTACATTTGTCTCCTTTCTTTTTCCCCTTGACCTCCCCCCAGCCTCCCCTACCCCCCAGTGTCTTGTGTCCATGGGTTATGCTTATCTGCATGCATACAAGTCCTTTGGTTGATCTCTTACCCACCCCCAACCCTCCCCAACCTTCCTGCTGTAGTTTGACAGTCTGTTTAATGCTGCTCTGCCTCTGTATCTATTTTTGTTCATCAGTTTGTAAAGATCTTTATTATCTATAAATGAGTGAGATCATGTGATATTTTTCTTTTACTGACTGGATTACTTCACTTAGCATAATGCTCTCCAGTTCCATCCATGCTGTTGCAAATGGTAAGAATTC